CAGCAGTCTAATCTCAGCCAGACGGCCTTGTGTGAGATGTATTTGGTTATTATTCATAAATCAATGCTAATGTTATAAATGCGAAAGTAACTCTGTCTGCCTATCTATTACGCTTTCACGGCTAAACCGATTTAAATGATTTTTTGCAAAACGATACTTTGATTTTTATCGATATACGACATACACGCTGGCCGAGCCACCGGCTGAAGCTAGTATGATAATAAACTAAAATAATAATAACCTCTCATCATATCAGCAAGACGAGGAGCGAAATTAAGCATAAGGCTCAAAACCGATCGTGATGGAGACTTGCTGTGGATACCCTCTGCCCCAAAGACAAAGAATAAAACGGCGTGAGGGGTCTATGGACCTACGTCGGGGTATCAGGGATTTCCTTCCTAGAGTACACCTTGTTCCCCGGAAAAAATTTCGATCTCGCTCCCGACAATTCAGAGTGTGTAACAAGCGATAAGGAACTTCGTTTCAATAACCTCTCAAATAATTTTAGTTTATTAATACCGAGAAATTATAAATTTTAAGTTTCTGATTTCTCACATTTATAATAAATAAATGTTGAAGATCTCATTATTTAGTAAGCTGTCTCACCTGCTCCTGCTCGAACCATTGCTTATTAAATATTCCCCAATCCATCGGTGTAACCTATATTTATTTTATTTAATAGACAACGGATCAGAACATACACAATTATGTTAACAATATACAATACTTAAATCTGAAGTCCAATTTGAACTATACACAACATGATATTACGAAACTTTATGCGAGTAAGTTAACAGACTAGAGTATTCGCATAATAAACTTAAGTTCCATTCACATCATCACATCACATCAACAGCCTTTAATATTCCACTGCTGTACATAGGCCTCTCCTTAGAAAGGAGGTTTTGGCCTACTATACCACGCTGGCCAGACGTGTTGGTATAGGGTTTCTGTCAAGTTTTCCTTCTTTTTGCAGTGTCCTGCGTTGTTTTGCGCCCTTAGTCGGCTCTTACGACACCCACGGGATGAATTGGGGTAGTTACATTCCGTATTCTTAATATGTCACTACACGGACAAGTTCCAATATTTATTACAAAATGATTGGTTTAAAATTTAATTAAGAAACAAAACAATTAACATAAAAAACCGAAGAAATTATACAAATATTATTGTGGGACACATTCATTTAGTAACAAACTTTTGAATAAATTATATTTGTTATAAGAAATGTCGACTTCAAAGCAAATAGCGTTATATTGACTGCATTCGTGCGATTGGATTGTTTAGTGACACATTATTGTAGCTACTAGGTACTGATAACAGCTGTTGTATGCGTACGAATCGTGTTGGTATCTTAAAGTATAGCAAGGCAACAAGCAAATGAGCCATTTACTATTTTGTGTTGGGGGCATATCGGTTTCCTATCAATGCATTCCCCTTAATACATAACTATAATCTTATAATTCCCCAAATAGCGCTGAATCAGAATCGGCGCCACCGCATGTCGCAACGCAGAAATTTGAGGCGTGCTGCAATGCACCGCCAATTCCGGCGTTATGACGTCACACAACTTCGGTAGTTCCATGAAGCTTATGTAAAGTGCTTAGTAGCTTTTTTAAAATGGTACATACATATATACACTCACGCCTTTATCGCTAAAAGGTTAGACAGAGTTGTATAAAACACCTATATTTTGCTGACTATAATTTTAATCTAACTTACGTAACATGAGACAAGCCTGTTACCGTCATTCGGGCACTCTAAAAGCCAGAGACCTTTCGATCTAGACTCTGACAATCCGGGGATATGATGGCGGATTGGCCGCCCCGCCGTTATTGAAGGCAGGAAGTCATTTCGGATAGGGCCTGATTAGGTGTGGTGTCGATTCGGGAGGACCTGAAATTATATGGTCCAGGTCCTCCCAGAGCCGTCGGGGTTGTTTTTAGTGGAATCAACACATTCTCCTGGCTCCTGAGTCCCCAAGGAACAGAAGATCCAAAGGGTTTTTCCATCCCGTCCACATAAATCAAAAAGCGTCAAACAATTTAACGATCCGGTACATCATTAGTTATGATGACAGAACCGTGTACGGCCTACTAAACACAAGGAGATTCGATCGTGCGCTTGCGCAATATTTGTAACCACACTTATTGTTGACAATAAGTATGACTATTAAATAACTAATGTACTAAGCATGTGTGTACTAAGTATTGTGGTTTTAACGTAATATTGTTTACCTCAAGAATCATACTATCTCCATACCAAATTTCATATAAATCGGTTTAGCGGTTATGTATTTCACATTTAAACTCCACCTCCCTTTTCAGCCCTTAAAGGATGATTGCTTTGACAAAAACTATCCTATGTCCTTCGACTCGAATCGACTCGAACTATCTCTATACCAAATTGCATCTAAATCGGTTCAGCGATTTAAGCTTGAAGAGGTTACAGAAAAACACACTTTCCCATTTATAATGTTAGTATGGATTGATCGCTCATAAGTCAAAAAAATATTTAAAGGCGGTTATGCTTCCCTTTCGTAAAGTCAAGACCTACCATCTCAATCTATTATCTATGACATAACACATCTCAATCATTCTCCGAAGGGGTAGGTAGAGGCGAATTCGGGCACGCCGTCATTGCGGCGGTAAGACCCGTTATGGAGGATTGGCTCGAGAGGCGTCACGGGACCCTCTCATACCAATTGACGCAGGTGATCACTGGGAAGGGATGTTTCGGAGATCACCTGTGTCTGATCCGCAAGGAGCCAACGCCTGAGTGCCACCACTGCGATGGCCAGACCGTGGACACGGCTCTCCACACGCTGGCAGAGTGCCCGGCGTGGGTTGAGCAGAGGCGAGACCTCGTGGCGGCCATCGGAGTGGGAGTTCTCTCGCTCGATAGCCTGATTGCGGCTATCGTGCGGAGCGAGAGTGCGTGGAACTCTGCCGTCTCCTTCTGCGAGCAAGTTATGCTCGGAGGAGGAGACGGCGGAGCGGGACCGGGAGAGGTTTAGAACTCTCCCGGCCCGCCAGGCCCGGGCACGGGCCAGGCATCGCAGGCGACTCAGGCGCCGGAGGTCGCAGAACGACCTCCGTCCTCCATAAGCGCAGGCCTGGGGGTGACAGGTGAGGCCATCTGTCACCCTAGCAGAAGCAGGCCGGGGTGGCGGCGAGCGCGTTGCGAAGCGCGCTCGCTTCCAGGGAGCACAGGGAACATGGGGTTCCCACACGGGGCGGGGGTCGTCTACTCGTCTGTAGATGACCCGAGGTATGTCGGGGCACCAGGGCCTTCCTTTCTAGGGTATACCTGGTTCCCCGGCTATTAGTACCCGGCGAAGGCGTGCGGTTTTAGTCGGTTCGAGTCCGACATGCCACCGACAGGTGGTATCCGAGGGGATTTCCGCACGGAAAAATAAAAAAAGGTAGAGGCGAATTATACACATTTAGCTGGCTACAGTTTTAGTCCTACTTATATAAAACATATCGTAGTGTAGTAATCACACTGCTAATAAACATATTTAAATATCTATAAAAACATATTATAGACAAATTACACCATAAGATTTGGACATAGCCTTTACTAGTCCACTGCTGGACATAAGCCTCCCCTTATAAAGGAGTTGGTATAGGATTTGTTTCAAGTTATCATTCTCTTTGCAGTGCTGTTGTCCTGCGTAGTTAGTTCCCTTAAATATGTAAATCTATGAAATGTAATAATTGCATTTAAATTCAAAATATTTTTTAAGATATGTAAAAATCTCACAAAAATAATAATACCTTTTAATTATTCTAATACAGGAGTATTATATACTCTATATTTATCTCATTCTCTTGTATGTTAAGTTTCTGATGCTGTGTGTGAATTGCACACACACACACACACTTTTTTTAAATAGTTTTTTTACCTAATAGTTTTCATTTTCTATTATTATGCCTTCATTATATTTTTTACTTAGAATGAGAGAAGGTTTATATGTTGTGATTGCTATAATTGAATGAGCACAAGGCCTATTTATGTATATTTTTTACTTATTTATACATACATATTTATAAATAAAATAAAATAAATTTTCGTGCTCATTACACAATTATATCTGTTGGAATCGCTCCAGTATCCGCAGGCTCAGCAGGTAAAGTCTACGTAGGCATAATTACTTACCTACTTACTTGAAAAGAAACGAAATTTGTAAAATAAACAACAACGACTGTTTCTTCCGATCATCCATTCAAAGAAAGGAATTCTAAATAAAAAATATATAAAAAAATAACATCACTAAATTTGTTTATCTCAAATAACATGTACAATGTACATAATAGACATATACACAGCTTATATTGGCAGAGTTTCTAAGAAATATTTTGATATCATTAGACTTAGAAATGTTCGAAGCCCAATTTTACGTAATTGTATTATTTTGTATCCACGGGAGATTATAATTTTTCAAATTACCTTTATTTTTTTATTTTATCGTTACCATCCTACTTCGATATCCTGACGATGCCTGATACTTAAAATATTTGTGTTTCAAGTTACGTTTTACATCTGAATTTTTGTATCCTAAAAGATTTTTCATCCCTCAATCAAATAATACTTTTTTCTGCATAAAAAATACTTTGTATTTCCATATTCTAATCCGTGTTAACAATGACTATATTAAAAACATAAAAATAAATAACATGGCACTACTTACATTTCTTGATAACATTAAAAATCACACTTGATTACACAATTTTACTTATTTACTAAACTAATTTAATAATAATAAATAATTAAAATCAACAAATTAAAAAAACATTCAACGCAACAGTACACATTATCAACGGCCATTGACGTAAATTTTCAATAAATATAAAAAACATGTCTTACATAGAAATACTACGAAGTGACTACTACTCTGACGAACACTGATAATAGCTGACTCACAAACAAATATGTATATAAGAGCGACTAAAGTAGAACAGAATATTCATTCAAACACCGAGTCTCACAGAGTCAACATGGCCGCCAAATTTGTATTATTACTGACCTTCGTGACTGCCGTAGTTGGTGCCGATATTAATTGTGACTGTAATAGTGACGATAACAAAGAGCTGTGGGAATACCTAACTAAGATCTCTCTAGACTTCGATGACCTAACAGAAGAAGAAAAAGAAATGTACTCTGTACTGCCGGGCTTCTTGTCACCGCTTTTCGAGTGTAATTGTCTAAGTGACAGAAAGAAACGTTCAATCACGCCAAAGGTGAGACCTTTGGAGATCTTGTCTACGTCTCTTGACGCTGAGAAGAAAGAGAACTCAACACCCAAACCAACAAGATTAGGCCATAAGATCCGGTACAGAACTCGATCATGCCCGGTCGGCTATGTAAGAATTGTGTATTGGTGTGTCCCAGAGGAGAAGATTGAATAATTGAAACAAAGTGAATCTAGTTTTGGAGTGTATTATACTCTGTGGTACGACAAACACATTCCATTTTTTTTTATTGATAGAAATGACACGTTTTAGGTGTCAAAATTTAAATTGCATTTCAACCAGTATTATTAAGTTTAATAATTATTTTTTAAATAGTTGCATACCAAATGTTTTTAGTGAGATTTGTTAATTTATTTTAATAATTAATAAACGTCTGTAAACATTTACCAACCCGTCTGGCCAGCGTGGTATAGTAGGCCAAAACCTCCTTTCTAAGGAGAGGCTTATGTCCAGCAGTGGACTATTAAAGGCTGTTGATGTGAATGTGATGAGACATTTACTAGTCCATTTATAGATATAGTCAATACAGGTTATTTAACATGTATTTTAGGTTTAAGTTTAGTGATTTACTGTAACAATTCAGGTAATATGTTAAATAAAATACATTTTAAAATTATTTTCATCATTTCATTGCTAATTGAAAACATAGTTTGTGTACAAATAATTTATTATTTCATTTTTATTAATACTTTCTCTCTGAAAAACCTTTTAAGTTCTTTCCCTCCTTTCCCATTAACATGGTGTCTCCATTAACAGGGAACGTTAGTGGAGTCACCAGAGGTTAATGGGAGAGATGACGTGACGGCTTATTTAAAGAAGGAAACTGCTTTAATCCTACCTTCCTCGCATTAACATATAAAAACCTTGCATATCCTATTATACATCATCATCATTTTTAACTTTCCATAGTTGGTCCTTACTCCATAACTTTCCAAAGTAACATTCTGGAACGGCCCACTAGGCAAAAGAATAAGAGATGGACCTATTACAAGATTGAAATATGATATTAAAGCAATGGCTGGTCCAAACTGGAGACAAGTAGGTGAAGACAGAGCCAAATAGGCATCACTGGAGGAGGCCTTCACCCATTCTGGGGTTCCGGTAGACTAAATAAAAATTTAGTAACTATAAATACTATGATATAATAGTTAAGACATAAAATCCACATATTAAATAAGACAAAAATAAATAACATGGCGATGGCGTAGTGGTTTAAGCGGTCGCCACGCCGCTTTCTATTGCGCCGAGTGTTGTGGGTTCAAACCCCACATGGGATAACACTTTGTGTGATCCACAAATTGTTGTTCTGAGTCTGGGTGTACTTTGTGTCCGTTTCATGTATGTTTGTAAAGTCCCCCGCGACACAGGATTTATTCCTAGTGCGGGAGTTGTCTTTAACAAAAAAAAAAGAAAAAAAATACATAGATTTTAAAGAAATGTAAAATTTACTCGAAATAAAAAGGCTTTTTTATTTTATTTAGTTGGTCTAAAATGTTAACGATTGAAGAAATGGTATGCAGTTGTCTCTTCCTATCTGTAAGGTGTTGCGGTGTGAGTTAATACATGAGTGACATAATACTCGTAATACATACACATACAGAGACACAATAACATGAATACAGCTCAAGAAACATTAAAAACAATTCATAATAGACGACCGAACGGCGTAGTGGTCTGGTGGCTACTCCAAAGGTCGCGGGTTCGATTCCCGCTCAAGTCAAACATTTGTGTGCATGAACATTTAATGTTTGATTTGGTCTGGGTGTTTCTATGTATAATAAGTATGTATTTACAAAAAAAAGTATAAATGTACTTATATCAGTTATCTATATGTTATAGTACAAGCTCTGCTTAGTTTGGGACTAGATGGCGTTGTGTGAATGTGGTAGAATATTATTATTATTATTATCATAATCATTGCAATGTGCTCGCTAAATGTTTACTTGACACCAACCCTCCATGGGAAATGTTTAAACGGAGCAAATGAATAAAGTCAATTGAGCAAATCACATAGGATAGATCGAGTGGCCTGTTATCCAGTGGTTAGTTAGTTACCCTGACTAATAAGTCGGATGTCGTGGGTTCGACTCCCGACTAGGAAAAATAATTGTATGATGAGCACGTTGAGGTGTAAATTATCTATTCAAATAAATAAAATTGGAGTGTCTGTTTGTAATATTAAAATAACCGCTTTTTACTAAATGCATATGTATGTTTACACGGTACATATGCCAAAATAACATTTTTTACAATTTTTGTCTGCCTGTCTGTTTGTTCCGGGTAATCTCTGGAACGGCTACACCGATTTCGACGGGACTTTCACTGGCAGATAGCTGATGGCATAAGGAATAACTTAGGCTACTTTTTTTAGACTAGCTTCGCCCCGCGGCGTTGCCCGCGGTTATAACAACAAACGCGGGTAACACCGCGGGGCTCAGCTAGTCTATAATATGTATGTATTTAGAAATATATAAGTGTATCAGCAGTCTGGTTACCATAGCACAGGCTCTGCCTAGTTTGGGATCAGACTGCTATGTGTGAGAATGGCGAAGTTCCTATTATAAGGCAGAAGCCGGGTTCCTTACCCCTTTGTCCCGTGATTGGAGACAAGGTAGGGAAATAAACTAAAAACTTTATTATTACATGTCGTACATGAATGAAGATACGTCTGTAATCTATGTATATTACGACAGTTGCGTGTATCGTAAATCTCTTTCAGATGTGGAATCCCCTTGTGCGAATGAGTCACTTGTATTAAAAACTCAATTGTGATCATTATTATCTATGGTACTACACGCTGAGGTCATGTTGTGACGTGTGAATGAACATTTAAGTGATTCCTAGAAAAAAAACATTGTAATCTATATATCTATCTATACAAATAAATAAAATTGGAGTGTCTGTTTGTAATATTAAAATAACCGCTTTTTACTAAATGCATATGTATGTTTACACGGTACATATGCCAAAATAACATTTTTTTCAATTTTTGTCTGTCTGTTTGTTCCGGGTAATCTCTGGAACGGCTGGACCGATTTCGACGGGACTTTCACTGGCAGATAGCTGATGACATAAGGAGTAACCTAGGCTACTTTTTTAGACTAGCTTCGCCCCGCGGCGTTGCCCACGGTTATAACAATAAACGCGGGTAACACCGCTGGTCTCAGGTAGTATATATATAAAAGCAGAAATTGACAGACTGATTCGCTGACTGAAGGTTCAACGCACAGCTGCAACCGCTGGGTCTAGAAACATGTTTTGCATAAAATTTATTTAGGTGACTTTAGGTCCTAGGGACTTCCTTTCTAGGGTATACCTGGTTCCCCGGCTATTAGTACCCGAGACGGCGTGCGGTTTTAGTCGGTTCGAGTCCGACATGCCACCGATAGGTGGTATACGAGGGGATTTCCGCACGGAAAGAAAAAAGGTAACTAGGCGCAAAATGGGGTAGGAAATTTATATGAAACTTTTTTATTTTCTGATAGTAACGTATCCTCTAAGATTTTTAAAGTCGTCCACCACGCAGAAAAAGTCACTAGGAAAAACTAGTATAGGGATATGGTGGTTTAACAAGCGTATAAGGAACCTTACAAAATCCTGACTGACTAGCCTGGAGGTGTAGTGGTTTGTGACCGTGACTGCTAAGACGGAGGTCATGGGTTCGATCCCCACCCAAGACAAATAAATGTGTGATAATATCATCATTTGTTTCGTGTCTGGGTGTAATTTATATATTATATGTATGTGTTTAGATATATATAAGTATGTTTATCAGCAGTCTGGTTACCAAAGCATAGACTCTGCCTAGTTTGGGGTCAGACGGCCGTGTGAGATGTGTGAGATATATTATTATTAAAGAATATAAGCAACCACTTAATTAGAATTGAGTGGTTGCTTATATTCGGTGCGCTATAGCTCTTGACTATGTCAACTTAAATACCACTACGGTATTAAACAAGCATGACCGCCCGAGTGCAGATACATCCCCTTAAAGCACTAGTAATTACTAAGCGGTCGATCGATCCTCGAAAAAAAATATTTTGAGGCCTTTAAGTAAAGTTATCATTTGACACTAGTGCAAAGAAAATAAACATTTGTGATATGGCTGTTCGTTATTTAATTAAACCAATCCCACTTTTATTAATGTACTTAATTTCTGTAGATGTGAATCATCACCAAACCACCAGCTATTGGGAAATTTTGGGTATTTTAATGAGTTCATCCGAAATGAATCACCAGTTTTTGGATTGTTAGGTATTCTAAATATTGTAGCCACATTACCGAATACTAGCGCCGTGATACATTACTGTTGTAGCAAACAACACACATAACAGTGAATCAATAAATAAATACAATATTAGGTCTTTACCTATGAAATTGCCGTTTTGTATGCAATAAGTGAAAGTACTTATTTTTTCAAACTTTTTTATTTCTGTTATTCGAAGTAATCACCCATGCAATCGACGCATCTTTGCCAACGCATTGGCAGTTTATTGATGCCCTTCTTGTAAAAATCAGCTGGACGGGAGGCAACAAACTCTTCAAAGGCACTTTGTACTGCCTCTCGGGAATTGAATTTTATACCCACTAAACAGTTGTCTAAATTTTGGAAAAAGTAATAGTCGGTATTTGCACCATATAAGTTTTCTACCCAAAACCTATAGGATACTTCCGGTTAACCTAGAATTGTCAATTTTGGTTAAAAGCAAGGTCGTACAGAACAAGTAAAGAGAAAATTCTGAAAAAGTTGAAAATTAAGGTAAATTTTGGTACTTTACAAGTTTTCGCGAAAATCTACATTTCCCCATATCGTGTTAACTCAGGACCTTGATTTTTATATACCTAATAGGGACTATAGACCACAGTATCTCGTAGAAAATTCAACTTGCTAGGTAAACCCGTTCCTGAGAAAATCGGTGGTGACACACGGACAGACAGACGTTCAGGCGGACAAGAGAGTGTTCTATAAGAGTTCCTTATTTACCCTTTGAGGACGTACGTTACGGAACCCTAATAACAAAGTGTCATATAAATTTCCTATCCCATTTTGCACCTCCAGTCACCTAAATAAAATTTGTGCAAAACATGTTTCTAGACCCAGCGGTTGCAACTGTGCGTTGAACATTCTAAATACTTTTTAGGGCAATTGATTAATG